ATGCTCGGTATCAACAATTGATGGAAAAGTTGAAATTATCCATCATGAAATTATCCATCATCTCTCGACACCCACTAAAAAAAAGAGTATACTGAAAATTCTAAAACTTATTAAAAAAGTATAGTCGAGTCTTAAGAATTTTCAGATTGTGCAATCTAGTCCTAAAATTTATTAATTTGGTGTGGTTAAGTTTCTCAATTAACTCGGTCCGATTTGGTTAATGAAGAATGCCAACCTAGCTTTTTTATTATAATTTTCTCTCTCCCACGTAGCTGTTAACGTTAATTCAATTTGTAAAAATAATGCCAAAACGACGTCGTTTCCCCTCAAATCTTAATTTTTTTCCCCTCAAACCATAATCAAGTGAGATTCAAAGTGAAAAACAAATGCTAAAAAAGCACAGCTTCACCTGCGAGGGTCAGCAACTTCCATAGCATCACTTGGGAAGAAGAAAAGGTCGGTTGAATGCATCTTCGCCTAGTTTTCCTTCAGTCACATCCACATTTTGGTAATTCATCAATCCCATGCTCGTCAATCTCACTCTCAAATCCCTGTTCTAAATTAGGATTCACGGGCTTCCCCTACACAAATCGAATAACTTCACCTTAGTCCGATCAATATCGAATTCATCGGCTCCTTTTGCGACCAAGCTCGTGGTCCCCAATTTACTCAATCATAAAAAATTTTGATAAGGTTTTCGCCTTCTCATCTCTTCGTTATAAATTACTTGTGTGATTAAAAGGCGGGTAAGAAATGCTACTCTAAGCTCCTGAAAAGAGAAAGGAAATGCATCCATGAGTTTGGCTAAGTGAAGATCGGAAGTGCCTCTAGTGCAACAAAAAAAAAAAAGGAGAGTAAAAATTTGTGGATTAATGGAAACTTGTGAGCTCACAAAACGAAAGATCGAAGTATGCTGATTACCGCCAAGAGATCTCACATGATATCACCAACCATCAAGTCTCCATCATGAATTCATGAAAACCAGAAAACTATTGATCAACACCACACGCACGAAGGTCAAAGATCTTCCAGTTCGGTGAGAATTCCCGACTCATGGCGCCACCACTGCGCAATATGGGGCATGCTTGCAGCTTTAGAGGGACGAAGCAATTGCCTTTTTTCTTTCTCCCTTGAATTTCTGTCTTTTTTATTTTTATTTTTTCGTTTATCCTCCTTTTCTTTTTTAAACTTTTATATCATTTATCTTTGTAAAATTCAAATTTTTTTTTTCTGATAGGCGCCACATCTGGCTTACGTGCCTTACAAAACTAAAAAAGAAGAAGCAATATGAGCCTTTTCCATCAATCAAATTAGACGGATTGCCAATAGATATGCGGTCCTGCTGGTAAAGGGTTTGGGAGGTGGGGACGCTAGTATCACAAGTGTGGGATTCGACTCCCGCGCTTTGCTAGAGACAGAACAAAAATCAGAGAGGGAGAAGAGTCAGAGATAGGACAGACAAAAAAAAAAAGGATGGATTTTTTTTCTTGCCGTAAATTGGACGGATTTAATTGATGACTAAATTGCACAAATTTAACAAAATTTAAAACTCGATTATATTATTTAAAAATTTTAGAACTTTTTGCGCTTTAACGGTAAGTTTTAGTACTTTGATTGTAGTTTTCCTTGAAAAAGAAAGAATTCCAAGGTGGGGTACACGTCAGTCGGCACCCCTAGTTGGAACACAAAAGATCGGCCTAAACCCTCAGCCCCCCGACCGACTCGCAACGTTCCAAATTCAAACCTTCCAGCCAACGCCTTCTTCTCTGTGCAATTTCTCTCGTCCATGGGAAATGATGGGGATATTCGAACAATACAGAGCAGTCGGGTACATCACCACCGGCGTCCCCTTCTCGATCGAGCGCCTCGGCACCGAGACCTTCGTTGGCGTCGACAAGGCCTTCCAAGTGTACAATGTAAGACGCCCGTCGTATGACATTTCGTAGTTCATGTTTTGGATTGGGGTGTCGCCCGGTTGATTTAATACGACATGTGTATTAAAGGGTTAATACCACGAAAAACTCTAAACTGGTACACATATGACAAATTTACCCCCAAACTAATTTTTTCAGCACAAAAAACTCCAAACTGGTATAACTGAGACAAATTTACTTAGAACTAATTTTTTAATCACAAAAAACTCCAAACTAGTATACTTGTGACAAATTTACCTTCCGTTAAATTAGATTAATACTACAAAAAATCATAAATTGATAAATATGTGACAAACAGAGAAGTAAAACCCTGAACCGATACACCCGTCAACTGCCACGTATTATCCAACTCAGCAATTTGAGGATAAATTTTAACGGAAACTAACGAATGATAAATTTATTACGGATATATCAGTTTGAAGTTTTTTATGATATTAATTTATAAAATAATACGACATGTTCATTGAAAAGGTGTAACGAAAAGTTTGCATTGCCGTACGAAAAAAATAAATCCAATTATGACGTGTTACGTCCTCAGATACCGTGTAAATATCTTCTCCACTTATCACAAACCATGATAATTCCAAAGCAAGATGACCATGTTAACGCACTGCGACCTTGATCCCTAATGACTAATTTCTGGACTTGGGCAATATTCTTGAACCCCAGCAACCATAGAACCAACCCAAATCCTTACTGTTTTTTTTTTTAATCTATTTTACGTTTTCTTTATTTCTTAAATACTCTATTCTGTAAAATTTTCGGTTTTAAATAATTTTATCTATTTATTTGAAACCGAAAGTCCAAGGAAAGAATAAAAAGAGGTTAGAAGAATAAAAAGCGTCCAAAGCGAATAGCGAATAATAAAAAAAAAGGGGAAAAGAAGAATAAGCGTCCAAAGCGAACAAGAAAAGAAGGAAAGGCGTGTTACTGAATAACAAAGCGTACAAGAAAAGAAAAGTCCCATCGTACGGCCTCCGCATGTTAAGGAAAAAATTACAATAAGAAATTTTTATTTTCGTTCATTCATTTTTATAAACGATATAAACGATCATATTTAAGTCATTAATTTTTCATGAAATAAATACATCATATGTGATTTATTTTATTTTTTTATAAGAGGAAACCAATTTTACCTGAAAAAAATAAATCAAATCGATTATCATCGGGGCCCTTTAAATAGATGGTGAATATTGTGGAAATTGAACCGTCTTTCATAGCATGATTCCTCGTCTGCATCGCCTTTTCGATTTTCTTTTTTCTTTCATTCGTTATTTCTTTTTCTACTTTTAATTGACTTGAAAACGCATTACATGAGTACTTACATATATCATTATCTCAAAAAAACAAAAGTACCGAAAGATAACGTCGAAAAAGTTCGATAACAATAGCAATGATAAAGCTAACAAAACAATTAGAATAAAATTGAAACTCGTCATATAATCACTGGTTATTAACTTTTTTTTTTCTTCTTTTGCATCAGAAAGAGTGGATGAAAACATTTTTTCAACAATAACCGATTGGCGAGAGATCTATGCTAATATCGTATTATATTAGATAATGCGGATCACAAAGACTAAAACAAAATACATCCTAACGAATTTTGTAGTATAGAAATTTGCATAAATTTGCGTTAATAAGAGTTAGAATTAGAATAGAAGGAGAGGTCTTGTCGGAAATGGCTGGACAACAAGGATGCATATGGTAATATTTCTGTTCTCGGGAACAATTTATGTTCAAAAATAGTTTTTCCTATTTCTATTCTCTAGACGAGTTTCTGAATAGAAGAGCGTATTCAATAACTGCACAAAATTTTTATTCCCGAAATAGAAGAAAGAACAGAAATGCGTTTGGTATGACCCTAAAAATTTCTTTTCCCAATTTTTCATTTAATTATAAAAATGTTAGTAGATACTTAACAATTCATATTTGGATAAGATTGGACTAGAAATAGAATCAAAATATATTATGATATAGAATTTGATGACCTTAATACAATCATAAAGAAAATTACTCCTTATAAATAAAGTAAATATCGGGTGGTGGTCGAGGAAATTGCAATTTAGGGTTTTAAGGTTTTGGGTTTTGGGCTGTGAGGTTTTGGGGTTTGGATTTTAGAGTTTAAGGTTTGGGGTTTTAGGTTTGAGGGTTTTGGGTATGGGGTTTGGGGTTTATGGTATCGGGTTTTGGGTTTTAGATTTTAGGGTTTATGAAATTGTTTCTCTAAAATAACATTATTTCTCTTTTTGTTCCCAGGAACAAAAAAGTAGGTTTTATTTTACTTCTTATTTCTGTTCTAAATATATTCCTTGGCCACCTGATATTTCGAGGAATAGAAAAATTAATTGACATACACAAACAGATTTTTATTATTTTCCTGTTTCAGGAAACAAAAGAACAAATAAACAGAGAAATAGAAATGCTATCAAACAAGACCTAATTGCACACTTTTTCTGTTGACACACGACTCCATTACTCAATTGAATTGCCTTGGTCACCGGTGATTATGATTTCTGCATCACGTCACATTGTGCCAATAAGAAAGAGATTAATTTCATTGCAAAGAAATCATATTACCATACTCAATTAGATTCACCTTCGATAACAAAATTTAAGGCAATAGCTCACGTGCTAATGAAGAAATTAGTTGTACTACACCACATCAAATAATCAATGTGAGATTTCTCCAAAACGACTCGCGTGTACGCCGAACAACGACGTTATCCCTATAAAAAATAGGAAGATGTGTCTGCACTGACCATAATTTTTTTACGTTTTACTTAAATTCAAATCTTGTAATAGACGCACTCTAACTTTTTCTTTCTCCGTGACACCCGAAACTTTCATAATATATAAATTTCGATGCGTTGATTCACGTGTAAGTTCTTCATATTTTTCAAAGTTTAAATAATATTTTTAATTTTGACAGGTTTACTTTTACAAATGTACAAAGAATAACTTTTTGCTTGGTGCATGACTTTGAGACAACCATTGGTGCATGGGTTCCGCATTAAGTTTTATAAATTAATTTTTGTCATCCAAGAAAAAATCTTGACAGGAGTAACATCTGATAGAAGGTCTCTACCCTATAAAATGTGACCACGGCTTCTCATCATTTCCTTCACCGATCAAACTCAACCATAGAACAGGAAAATTTCGAGAGGCTGCAAACAATGGATGTGGATTTTGACCTGACTATTGTCAGCAGTGAACCCCAACCCGAACCCCTTTCCATCCTCAAGGCTCCGCCGATCGCCGCCTCCTACAACGACCGGATCCGCCCCCTGCTCGATGCTGTCGACAAGCTCCAAAACCTCAAGGTCATGAAGGAGGGCATCCAGCTCCCCACCATCGTCATCGTCGGTGACCAGTCCTCCGGCAAGTCAAGCGTCCTCGAGTCCCTCGCCGGCATCAGCCTGCCACGGGGGCAGGATATCTGCACACGTGTCCCCCTTATCATGCGGCTCCAAGACCGGCGTCAAGACGAAAGCCCCAAGCTCCACCTTGAGTTTAATGGCAAGATCGTGAACGTCTCCAACGAGGACGACGTGTCCGACGCCATAGTCACCGCGACAAACGTGATCGCCAGCTCTGGCAAGGGCATATCGAATACCCCACTGACTCTGGTCGTTAAGAAAGATGGCGCCCCAGACTTGACCATGGTCGACTTGCCTGGTATCACGAGAGTGCCGGTGCACGGCCAGCCCGAGAACATCTACGAGCAGATCTCGGAGATGATCATGGAGTACATAAGGCCTGAGGAGACCATCATCCTCAATGTCGTGTCCGCAACCGTCGACTTCTCCACTTGCGAGTCCATAAGGATGTCTCAAGTAAGTATACTCTAGCCACACTTGTCTCCCATATCAATTAAAAACTTGAATGATTCATACAACTTTAGCATGAGTCAATACAACTTTATGTTTCAGATGGTGGACAAGACTGGCAAGAGGACTCTGGCCGTTGTCACGAAGGCTGATAAAGCTCCGGAGGGCTTGCTCGAGAAGGTGACGGCCGATGATGTCAATATAGGGCTTGGTTATGTGTGTGTGAGGAACAGGATTGGTGACGAGTCCTACGAAGAAGCGAGGCTCGAAGAGGCGAAGCTGTTCGAGATGCACCCTCAGCTGTGCAAAATTGACAAGTCCAACGTTGGTGTGCCTGTCTTGGCACAAAAGCTGATGCAGATTCAAGCCACCATCATGGCCAAGTATTTGCCCGAGATCATCATGAAGATCAATGACAAGCTAGACGCAAATGACGCCGAGCTTAAGAGGATGCCCAAGAATATGTCCTCGGTCGAGGATGCCATGATGGTCTTCATGGAGATGATGGGGTCGGCGAAGGAGTCGCTGAGGAAAGTCTTGCTGAGAGGCGAGTTAGACGAGTACCCGGACGAGAAGGACATGCACTGCACTGCCAGGCTGGTAGAGATGCTGAACCAATACTACGATGAGCTCCAAAACTGCCCCGAGAACGACCCGACGACTAACTTCTTGTTGGAGGAAATTGAGGTCTTGGAAGAGGTCAAAGGGATCGGCCTCCCAGACGTCCTCCCTCACACAGCCTTTCTCACCCTTTTGCAGCGGAAGGTGAAGGGGATATCGAGCAAGCTGCCGAGTTTTGGGGTATGTGTTTGGGACTACATTGAGGGAGTTGCGATTCGGGCGTTGATGCGACACTCAGAGAATTATCCTCAGCTGCAGTGGTCGACGAATAGAGCAGTGTTCAATCTGATCAACAAGATGAAGGAGAAGACGATTGATAGGATGACGGAGATTGTTGAAATGGAGAAGCTCACTGACTACACTTGCAACCCTGAGTACCTGTTGGAGCGGAAAAAGTTGATGACCCAGCAGGATACGTTCGTTAACAATTATAAAAGGCGGTACAACGTTTACCTCCAGGAGATCGGAGACGTCAACGTGACCCATCTGTGGCCTCGTGACGAGAAGCTGATTCAGCAGGCGTTCGATCTGAAGATGAGGATGACCCCGTACTGGAAGATTGTGCTGAGGAGGTTTGTCGACTCGGTGGCACTGCATCTGCGGTTCAGCGTGCAGAACTTGGTGAACAAGGAGATGGATAAGGAGATTTGGGGCAAGCTGAGTGGGGCCGGCATCAAGAGGATGATGGAGGAAACGCCGAAGATGGCGGAGAAGCGCTTGAAGCTGAGCAGGAGCATCAAGCTGTTGAGGGAGTCTGCGGAGGTGGTGACCAAGTTCATGGACCGGATTGCTACTGACGGTGACTACCTATGTTGCACCGACACGTTCAAATGGCCAACGTGTCGGTATCCGACACCGACACGCGTGTCGGACACGCCGACACGTGTGGACACGCCTCCGACACGCGGTCCACACAATATCTGCTTTCCGACATGAAATCAACTCTCCGGACACGCCTCCGACACGCGAGTCCGGCGTGTCCGGCGTGTCCAAGAGTAAATTTGTAAAAAAATAAAAACAGAGAACAATAAATGGCGTCGACCTCCAAATTAGGGCTAAAACACGATTACCTCTTTACTTCTCTGTTCAACCGACGAACTCCCGTCCTCCGCGCCGCTCGCCGCTCGCCGCTCGCCGCTCGCGCTCACCGCTCGCCGCTCCCTCTCCCGCTCCCGCTCCCGCTCCCGCTAGCCGATCGTGCTCGCCGCTCCCTCTCCCGCTCCCGCTAGCCGATCGTGCTCGTCGCTCCCTCTCCCGCTCCCGCTCGCGCTCGGCGCTCGGCGCTCGGCGCTCGGCGCTCGGCGCTCGCCGCTCGCTGCAGGTACACCTCTCTGTTTCGAAAGAAATTGTGGTGGCTGGGAACTGGGAAGAAGGGAGAAGTCGGGGAAGGGGGCGTGTGTGGGTGGGTTGGGGGAAAAGGAAAAAGTGGTGGGGTAGGTCAGATGGGTGGGCTGCGTCTTTCTTATGGTGAAATGCGGATGGTTTTTTGTTTTTTCGACTTATTGTTAAATGTTGAATTTAATGGGACAAATATTTTTAGATAGTGTTATGTATTGAAATATGAGAACATGAATTTTGATGAGACGTTTGCATATCGCATATACTCTGTTTCCTTAATTGAATTTGTAAATGTGATTCTTTCGATGGATGAGTTTACGAAACCTAAACTAGTCAAGTTCATCTTTTTATTGGAACTTAATGGTTTTATGGGTTATAATAAATCAATTGTTTTTGGTCATTATGGTATATTTAATTATTAAAAATATATATTTAATATACGTGTCTCAACGTGTCGGAAAATGGTATTTTTTGAGAATTGACGTGTCGCGTGTCATGTTGTGTCGTGTCGCGTGTCGGTTTCGGTGTAACATTGGTGACTGCAGTGATTAGTTAGTGTTCTTCTACGGGCCCTTAATTAAGCTTTTCCTATGATGATGTGTTTCTTTTATGAGTGTGTTAATGTTGCTGTTCTAGTGATCAGATTTTAAATGATGCTTGGACATCGCTTGATCAAAATTTGTGAGGTCGAATTTGTTGTGTTAGACTAAAATAAATTCTGATACGACAGAATTAGATGTATGTTATGATTAGCTCAATTAAAACGTCGCGAGGAAATATTTCATTGACTTATTAAAGCATTTTTCGTAACTTCATTTTTCTTAGCGATATAAAGGATTAAAGGTTGGAAAATCTTTCGTAAACTGCTGATTTTTCATGAGACAAACGCACGTAAATGGACTTCAAGTCATCATCAAACAAAAGAGTTGCTCTATTGCAAATGGTTTGTTTATTGGCTGTTTGAAGTGATTTGGGAATTGTGACAGCGTTGCACGACACTTGTCTTTTCCGTGTTGGTCGATCTAATCGATCGCCACTATCATAGTAGGGGTCGACTCTATCATGGTCCTTGCCTCATACTAAGTCACGCAGGTCAGAGTAATTATTTGAGATGGGTCCTAATGATGGGTCATGGGCTGGGTTAGCCCAATATGGGCAGCCCACATCCATAAACCCATAATCCATCGGTAACTTATACATGTTGTTCGGTCCAAACCTCCCCTTTTGGTATGTCTTGAGTCTTTATTATATACACAATCACCTCTGTACCTCAAGCTTTGATAATTTAGTCTCGCCGGTAATTTCGGGTCTTTGTGTCTAAGTTCATCACTTATATATATATATATAGAGGTGGTCCTGAACCTTTCTTCAATGTTTAGCTTGGTCCTTGAATTTTTTTTTCTCAATTTAGCTCTTGAACTTTCAAAAATCCACTCAACGTAGTCTTTTCGGTAAAAGTTAACACCATTGAACATGACGATAGATTTTCGTTAACTCGATATTAGATTTGCCATGCTGGTGTTCACATGAGTTTTATATATATCTCTCTATTTTGGCTCAAAAGAAAAGGAAAAAAGAGATTTTCCGATTCGGGAAAACGACACGACTATTCAAATCATTATGTTGCGCCGATATATGTTGATGCGGCAATCCACGCTAGAGAAATGCACGTGCCATGGCAATACACTTAACAAAAGGATTACATTGAGATGAGTTTTTGGGACGATATTGAAATTGAAGAAAAGTTCAAGGATTACCCATATCATTACCTAAACAAAAAGTATAAACTATGTGCCATAATGTGAGAACTATCTATAGATATCTATATAAAAATGTTGTAACAAAAATGATTGTGCAGAAAATGAGACCGATACATGCCTGCACAGAATGGTCGTGCAGACTGTTATCATCATAATTGTCTTCGTCATATTGTAGATGGATAGAAAACATCGAAACTCTCGAAAACATTCATGAATCCTATCTTGTCCTAGTATGTCGTAATTGGGTACATTTTGCCATAACTTAAAAGATAAAATCTCATGTTGGCTATGCAATTAACAAGGACATGATAAGTCATACCAAAGTTCACTTTGCAATAGCGCTTTTCATTTAGTTATACCGATTTCTCCCTCTAACATACACTTTGATTTGAAACATCCGATTCGTCAAAGTTAGGGGAGTTTCGAAATATTCATTTGTCATTGGGATAGTAACACAAATGGTTATTGAACTTTGGTTCAATATGTAATGTAATTCTTAAACTGTGGCCCAATGTGCAATGTCAATATGATTCCTCATCTATTGGTAAAATGTTCAATAGAGTCCCTAGACTAATATGTTTAAAAATTAAGGGATCATATCGAAGAAATTAAAAGTTTAGGACGACATTGCACATTAAGCCAAAATTGATAGATAATTTGTGTCATTTTTCTTTTGTCATTCATTGTTGCAACATGCCGTACTTGACGCACACTTACTTTACACGGAAGGACCCTTCGTGGGTCTACTACCATCAATCTATTTTCGTGGTGTCATCGTTCCTTTTGTAGGAATAGGCCATACCAGAAAATAAAGTCGATTTACATCAAATGCGCTCCAATTGCATATCATCATTCATTGCCGCCGGAATCGAGCCCTAGGAAACGGTCCGAGCTGCATCACGCCGAGAATAGCCTCTGCCTTTGTCGTTGTGGATGCTGCTCAGGCCGCCTTTACCGCTAAAAGGCCTTAAAGTCGATGTTCCCGCTCTGGGATTTTGAGTTGGAACAGGTTTTAAATGTTTGTTTTGCAAGAGATTTTACGGTTGCACTATCTTTCTCGCCAGGCTTATGCAATTATTTAGTTGAATGCGACAGGACTAGCAATAAATAGATAATTTTTGTGGATGAAGAACTTTTATCTTAAATTCTAGGGATAAGGACAGCACAAGTGTGATGCCCCCGGCATGTCATCTCTAACGCAGTTAATGTATTCTTTCACTTGTTATGCATGTAGAAGCGTGTATGGTCAAAGAACAACCCAAAAATTCAAGGAACACACGCAGGAGATATGAACTAGGCAATCTCATTTTCATTTCTTATTTAGGTACTTAGGCGTCATAGGTTGGGGTACATTAAAGAAACAAAAAGGGTCCTGCCGCCCTTGGCTATACCAAAACTCCGTCAGTTCTATCCTCCCAACCAATAAGCACATTTGTACGATGCCACCTATTCATCATCCACGGTATGTCCAAAAATCACTGCCTGGTCTCCAAAATGCTACTACTCTGAAAGATGGTAGTTAACAACAAATGAGTATAAACTCAGCAAGAAAAATGTCTACCGGTCTATACTATATAAATCCACCATTGCACATGCGAGGAAAACTCCAAATGAAATCATTTTTAAAATCAACTTGTCTTAGAATCTTCTTCAAAACTAAAGTAAGTCAGTATAAAAAGGGAGATATCTTGGGGTCTGTAAACCAGTAACGCAAGTGAAACGTAATAATACTAATAATCACTTTTGATTTAAAACTTAGCTGGCACTATCTTTCGGGGAACCCCATTGCCCCCCAGGCATCTCGCACCCACACGGCATCACGAGGACATATGGGGAACCGTGTTACACCCCCAGGCATCCGAGGGAACCCACTTACCCCCTCAGGCATCTCGCACCCCTCCTGGATCACGAGGTCATTTGGACCTAGTTACCCTCCAGACATCCGGAGGAACCCAGTTACCGCTCCAGACATCCAAACTCCTGGGGCATCGTCGTCATGGGGACCGACGGAACAGTCGCACTCATGGTGCAGCAATTCAATAATTCAATTTAAATAACATTCACTTTGCTAATGCAAAGGAAACAACTCAAGTTCAGAACTAACCAACCTCCATCCACTTATAAATCATAGAAATGGTATAAAACTGGTTAGTCAGCAATACAAATCTTAAGAGGCAAGTTACGAAAAGGAATTTCATCCAGAATCCCAAAATTGCCCTATAAAGGCCGTTTGCACGCCTTCGGAAGTCGCTATCATTACCTAAGTAAATCAGCTTCAAAAATTACGAAATTTTAACACAACGTAGATGAGACCCAGAGAAACATTTCTCGTGAAGAACTCAAAGTCTAAATCTTTTTTAAATACCTCGTTTATTAGCTCAAAGTCAGACCAAAACTGGCCCGCTGGAACAGAATGATCGAACTACAAGAAATACTCATTTCGCCAACCAAACCTTTTCAAAACACTTCGAAATTTTTATATGTTGTAGCCATGGATTTCTTTAACAACTTTGTGAAGGAAGTATGTCCAATTTCGAACTGGAAATTTTTATAAAAATTCAAGAAGACATAAAGGTCACTGATTTTACCGTACTTGACAGATTTAACACGATAAGAAATAGGGTCTTCGTGCAACCCATTTGAACTCAGAAAAAATCTGAATTTAAAGTATGTTATACTCCAATATGTTTTCAACAACTTTCATGATAAAATTTCCCCAAATTCGACCCACAAAAAGCTCTACAAAAATGGAAAACGGTAAAGGTCCAGCAGTACCGATTCTGGAAATCGAAGCAAAAGTTCAAGAAGCAACCCAAAACTTGAACAATACGAATTTTTGTTCAAGAAACCCCCAAACCAGAAGCTAACCTCCAGATGCAAGGGCCACGCTGAGCAATAACGGAATTACACAGCATAGATTTGGAAACATTCACTTGCCTATTGATATTCGAATTTCCGCGAATCCTTGTCGATCGACCGGCGTTCTTGCGGGCGGGTGACGCGCGTACGTGCGGTACGAACGGTGGTCAAGCGAGTGAGCGTGAGTGGTGAGTGGCCATAAGTGTCAGACTAGTCCAAACCGAAGGGGAAAGAATAAAGAAGAGCGGCTGGTTCTCTGTGGCGTTGGGTGAGTGGGGGTGGCCGAATGAAGAGTGGAGAAGACAGCGGCTCGGGGGCATGTGGCACGGGCAAGAGAAAACGGTGAGCAGGAAGGTGGCAAGGAAAAGGAAGCAGCGTGGCAAGAGGGAAGAAGAAGGAAGAAAGTGGCAAGGTGGCGTTGGTTGGCTGATGTGGAGAAAAATGATGGCTGAAGGCGTGGTAAGCTGTCCACCGCACTAAGACTTTCTTCAAGATTACGTTAGTTGACCACTTCTTGAGAATTCTAGAGGAGAAAAGGAATTGTGGGAATGTGACATCCTCAAATTCGACCATATTCGGAATGTAATGAAATGATGATTTTAATCGATGCACTATTAGTAATTCTCGCTCTGAATTGATCACTCATGAGAGACTAACCGATTGGGAAAGGCTGTTAAGGAATTAAATACGCACGACCTGAAAACTCGATCAGGGATTGACAATTCGACCATAAGGATTGACGAGGGACAATTTTGAGCCATTATAGACCGATCAAGGGATGGTTATAGAATGATTCGCCAATAGCATACAATCGGATCGCGGGTGATTCCGTTTGACCGTTGTATGTATTGCGAACGATCCTAAACCCATTGACTGATGATCGCGTACTTTGGAACTGACGATTGATCCCTCGCAATTACATGACAATCGAGATCATCCATGATTCGAGAAAACTTAAACGTGGTTTGATACCGAATCAACCACGGGTCGCATCAGCGTAACTCCTAAAAGCCGCCCGTTAGTTTGAGATATACTAAAGTCGCAATTGATTGATTTTTACCACGAATTAGAATCCGAATTTGGATGTCGAATCTTCGAGGATTTCAAAACTAAATTATTGGACACCGCCTCATTGATTTGCTCGTTTATCGGTTTGCTCGACATTCTCGGAAAAGGATTTAACGGGCCGAGAATTTGAGCCCACGAGGGAGTGGGCCAGACGAAGGCACATTGGGCCTCAAGCCCAATGTGATTCGGCCACATGGGCCCAAGGCAAACCCAAGTGGCCCAATTTAGCCCATTGAATCCAATTTCAGGCCCAATTGCAATTCAAGCCCAAGTTTGAGCCCATTAGCATTTTCAAGCCCATTCATAATCCGTTTGAGCCCAAATTCGGTTATACGAGCCCGTACGAAATTCTAGCTCGTATACGTGTATAAGTATTTTTATACCTTGTGAAATTACCAAAATACCCTTCTTGCATTTATGACAAAGAAACCAAAGAAATGATGAAGAAGACTTTGGGGGTTTGGCATTTATGTGGGGGGAATGATGATGAAGACTTATAGGGCATGCATTAAAGAAGAGAAATATCTCTCTTGTTCCCTCTCTTCTCCCTCCCGCGTCCATTCCTCTCTCTCTCTCCTTTTTCCTCTTCCACGGCAACTTCCCCTTTTCTCTTTTTTTTTGTTGTTCCTTCGGCTGAGCAAACAGAACAGCCCCCTTGCTGTTGTGTTGCTGCTGTGTTGCTGCCGTGGAGCAACCAACAGCCACGCCGTGACTCCCCGCCGCCGTGCGCAACCCGTCCGTGCCGTTTTCCGTCGCCAAATCGCCTCACCGAAGCCAAACCGGTTCTGTGGCTGCTGTCCAGCCGAGACCCAGTCGTCGTCGTCTTTCCGTGTCGATTCCGGACCGTGCAAAGCGTAGCCCTCGCCGCCGCCGACGCACCGGTGTCTCCGGAATTTTAAACGGGTGAGTTATCGCCCTAATCCCTTGCTTAGTAGGTTAAACTTCATTAGAGCGGATTAGTTTAAGTTAATTGTGCTTAGTACTAATTGATTAGGGATTAGTGATAATCTATTGGATTAATTATATTATTATTTTATTAATTTTCGGAAATTAAATAATAATATTTTATTAATTTTCGGAATTAAAAATATTATTATTTTATTAATATTTTTGTGGAAATTCCGAAATTAAATTGTGTTTATTTTAGGCTTAAATTGTGATGCCTAAGTTAGAATTTGCCTTATATATTGGTTTGTATGCCAAATTGAATTGTTTGGTTAATTTTGAGTATAGCATGTCGGGTATTTAATTAATAAACCCTGAGGTGTCGGGTTTATTTGTTAAGTTTTATGTGAGAATTATGTTGTGTATACTTGAATATAGAAGCATGCCAAGTTTGGAAATTTATTGATATGTGCATAATCACGTGTGAATATTTTAGTACATTTTTTTTTATGTGGAGAAGTTGGATATTTCAACGTATTAGCACGGATTATGTTTGCATTGGCTATTGAAAATTATAATGATGGAACCTGAGTGTTGCTATGTGTGCATGATCACCTAAAGGTTCCTTTCGTGCCCGGTTATATCGGAAAACCGTATACCGGATGACCGCCAACCTAGGGTTTGGCCGTGGCCCTAACGGGTGTCCCCAATTTGGTAATTGGAAGCCGTCGCTGGTAGCAGGGGAGACGTAGTCATTCGCGAATCGGATTCGGAATGAACCCATTTATGGGATATGCCGTCATTGTGGTTGGGTGAGACGATGCCGTGCCCGATGGGGCGGGACGATGCCCGGATATACCGGAAGACTGCCAACCTGAGGCGAATATCACGGGTTGTGCCGTAGCCCCTGGTGTGGCTGTAGTAATTGGAATACGCGTGAAAGATTATGGTGGCATTGCGCTTGATTATGAGATGAAATTGCTAGGCACGGTATGGGACGGGCCGAAGCGGTTTCACTTTATAATCGGGACACGTGTGAATGCATTGTACTTGAGAAAATTGATGCGTATTCTGATTGTATTATATGCTTATTGCATTATTATGGCATACGGTGAATCATAATGTACAGGGCGTGTGCATGTGCCCAGGGCAAGGTAAGGTTGCTTGTGATTGTGTTGTGAAGTACCTGTATGTTCTATATTGAGTTGTCTGCCATCGATGTATTGCATGTGTTAGGTACATCCGAGATGAGTTGACCTCCTAGTCGAGGCTTAGGTCGTGAACTCGCTGAGATTTATCTCATTCGTTGTTGTTAACCACTTTTCAGGTCATCCGATATGAGTACACGTACCGTTCCTTGGGAACTGGCTTTTTGAGGGAGAACACTTTTTGAGGTTATCCTCGTAGATAGAGGAGCTAGGTTAACCCGTACCTGTTCTGGTTGTAATCGGGAAGGTCCGCGTGGTGTTCTTGTAATATATTAACCCGATGTATTGCTGATGATGTTGTTTGAATTGAGGTGTGTTTTCCTGACTATCCCTGTTGTTATGATTGGGAGTTTTTAATTCGCTTTCGCATGCGTTTAATCATTAGTAATTCGATTGGGTCGGCGATGCATCCTGGGACGTCGCATTTATAACGACCTTGGTGGGATGTTAGTGCGCTCGAGGGTCGGGGCGTGACATCCCTGTTTAAGTGGTATCAGAGCATGGTTAGCTCGATCCAAGTTTGGTCGATACCTGGAGTGATAAGGTGCGATGAGTTTTGGGATAGTTAGCTAGGAAAACGTCTTGTGCCTGTGCTTGATTACTTGATTTTATTGTTAGAAGCGGGTTGTTCATGACTTCTAATTCCTTGTTGGAATTGGAAAGTAGGTTTCTGTGAGAATCCTGCGAGATGAGCAATCCTGAGCAAAGGATTCCTAGGAGAAGGGCAGCTTTAAATCAAATTGGTACTGGAGGAAGGGCTCAAGAGGATCCCAGGTTAGATAGGATTATGCAAGCCCTAGAGACTTTGGTAGGGCAGCGAGCTCAGGACCAAGCTGCAGCTCCTGCTGTTCCTGCCGCCGCACCTGTTGATGTCCCGTTAGCTGGGATCGGGATTGGGGATCGACCAATGCATAAGCTGGTCGAACAATTTCTGAAGCTAAAGCCGCCGAAGTTCTCTGGCGTAGGTGATCCAGAAGCAGCAACTCTCTGGGTTAGAGAATTGGAAAAAGGTTTCGCCTTACTTCGGTGTTCTGAAGAAGAAAAGGTGACGTTAGCGGTTTACCAGCTGCAGGGTAACGCTAGCACTTGGTGGGAAGCCACTCAAAGAAGAGTCTTTCCTGAAGGTACGGTTCCAGGGTGGAATGCCTTCGTGGAAGCGTTTAACGGGAAATACTTCTCAGACTGCGCAAGAGAGCGGAAGATGGCTGAGTTCCAACAACTTCATCAGAATCATCTGTCAGTTGATCAGTACGAGGCGAGGTTCGCCGAGCTGTCAAAGTATGCCCCGAGATTAGTCGAAGAACCGATCGATAAAGCAAGGAGATTCCGAGATGGTCTGAAACCGGAAATCAAGGATCAACTAGTACCCTTGAACCTGAAGAATTATGATGAACTGTATGAACGGGCTCAGCTGATTGAGAGGAACATGGCAGAACGTACAGCCGCATCTGGATCGCGGTTTGTACCTAATCGGGATAATCGTCGATTCGGGAAGGGACCGATGATTGGAGGAAGGTATCCTATTCCACCCAACAAGAAGAGTGGCGTTGGGAAACCGGCATACAACTCCAATGCCGCGTGTCGATTTTGTGGGAAAAGGCATGGGAACGGCCCTTGCCCAAACAAGACAAAGGAAGTGACGTGCTTTAACTGCGGCCAACAAGGCCATTATTCGAGGAACTGTCCCCGTCAGAGGATGCCATCTCAACAAACCCAAGTGGGGCAACAAGCTAGCAATGCTTCGCAAAATCACCTAAATCGGCCACAGGCGCAAGGAAGAGTATATGCTATGGCCAGAAAGGAGGCGGAAGATTCGCCTGGTGTGGTCACAGGTACGGTCTCTCTTCAAGATTATGCTGCATATGCACTATTTGACCCGGGAGCTTCGCATTCATTCATCTCTGAACAATTTGTCAGATTAGTGGGGCTTAAACCGAAACCTTTGGATGTAGTTCTTCATGTTACCACTCCACTAAAAGAGGAAATGTTAGTTACAGTAGGATGTCTAGACTGTAAAATAGTTATTTGTGGTAGAGAGGAATTGATAGATTTACCGGTCATAGCGATGTATGACTTTGATGTCATAATCGGAATGAATTGGCTCACTAAGCAACGAGCTATAATGGATTGTTACCGTAAGGTAATTCAGTTAAATCCATTGAATCGTACCAGTTACGAGTTTGTGGGAAGCAGAGGAGGAACCTCGATCCCTTTGATTTCGTCGATTGAGGTAACTAGGCTATTGGATGATGGATGCCAAGGTTATCTAGCGACCGTAGTTAATTCATTGGTTGAGGAACCAAGAATGGAGGACATAGCTGTTGTGCGTGATTTTCCAGATGTCTTTCCGAATGAATTACCGGGATTACCACCTGAAAGAGAGATAGAATTTATAATCGAGTTGGCTCCTGGGACAGAGCCAATTTCTAGAGCGCCTTACAGAATGGCATTATCAGAACTGAAGGAATTGAAGGTACAGATGCAAGAGTTGCTAGATAAAGGATTCATTCGCCCTAGTGCATCACCTTGGGGAGCACCTGTATTATTCGTGAGGAAGAAAGATGGTTCGTTACGTTTGTGTATCGACTATCGACAGTTGAATCAGGTGACCATCAAGAACAAATATCCGTTGCCAAGGATAGATGACCTATTCGATCAACTGCAAGGGGCGTCGGTATTTTCCAAGATAGACTTGAGGACAGGCTATCATCAATTGAGAATTAAGAAGGAGGATATACCGAAGACAGCATTTCGGACTCGGTACGGTCATTACGAGTTTACGGTGATGCCGTTTGGATTGACTAATGCCCCAGCTGCTTTTATGGACTTAATGAACAGGGTGTTCAAAGCATATTTGGATCAATTTGTCATAGTATTCATTGACGACATACTGGTGTATTCGAAGAGCCCTGAGGAGCACGAGCAACACTTAAGGATGATTTTACTAACCTTAAGAGAACACGCACTTTACGCCAAGTTTAGTAAGTGTGAGTTCTGGCTCAGTCGAGTAGCTTTTCTTGGTCATGTGATCTCTGGTGAAGGAATCTCTGTGGATCCAACAAAGATTGAGGCAGTTATGAACTGGCCGAGACCGACAACGGTAACGGAGATTAGGAGTTTTCTAGGTTTGGCCGGCTACTACAGACGATTCGTAGAAAGGTTCTCTGCGATCGCTACTCCTATGACACATCTACTGAAGAAGGAAGCAAAGTTCGAATGGACGGATAAGTGTGAGAGGAGTTTTCAAGAACTCAAGCACAAGTTAACTACCGCTCCAGTGCTGACGATACCATTCGGTCCTGGAGGGTATGAGATTTATAGTGATGCGTCACTTAAAGGATTAGGATGCGTTTTAATGCAACATGGAAAAGTAATTGCATACGCGTCCCGACAGTTAAGGCCACATGAGTTAAACTACCCGACTCATGACTTGGAGCTAGCGGCGATCATTTTTGCCCTAAAGATTTGGAGACATTATTTATACGGTGAAAAGTTTCAGATTTACACGGATCATCAGAGTTTGAAGTACTTATTTTCTCAAAAGGAATTGAATATGAGACAGCGCCGATGGATGGAACTTCTCAAGGATTATGACTGCGACATCCTGTATCATCCAGGAAAGGCTAACAAAGTAGCGGATGCGCTTAGTCGAAAGTCTGCCATCGCGCACCTGATGATTAAGGAATGGACTCTACTTGAGAGAGTACGAGATTCAGAGTTCAAGTTTGAAGTTGGTCACCTTTCAAGTCTGTTGGCTACCTTAAGAATCGAGCCAGAGGTTCAGGCTAAGATTAAAGCGCTGCAGTTAATGGATCCTGAAATTCAGAAGATTCTGCAAGGGGATGCAGATAAAAGAAAACCTGATTTTCAGGTGACTGAGGATGGAACTTTAAGGTTTCGCGGACGACTGTGTGTACCCGACAATATGGAACTCAAAGATGAGATCCTATCAGAAGCACATCGCAGCAAGTACAGCATTCATCCAGGTAGTACCAAGATGTATCAAAATCTACGTCAACACTATTGGTGGAGTGGCATGAAAGTGGATGTAGCCAAGCACGTAGCCAGGTGCTTGACGTGCCAACAAGTGAAAGCGCAGCATTGCAAACCAGGTGGACTGCTACGACCACTTGAGATCCCAGAATGGAAATGGGAACACATCACAATGGATTTCGTGATGGGTTTACCAAGGAGTCAGAGAGGTAATGACTCTATTTGGGTCGTAGTGGATAGACTGACTAAGTCTGCTCATTTCATTGCTGTACGAAAGGACTTTACCATGGACAGATATGCGGAATTGTATGTACGCCATATTGTTCGCCTTCATGGAGTACCGGTGACGATTACTTCGGATCGAGATCCCAAGTTCACCGCTACATTTTGGAAAAGTCTTCAAGTTGCCATGGGAACGAAGGCTGCAGTATAGTATGACTTATCATCCATGAGACGGATGGTCAATCCGAGAGAACGATTCAAACTCTCGAGGATATGCTGCGAGCTTGTGTTTTGGATTTCAAGGGCAGTTGGGAGGAACAACTGCATCTCGTTGAGTTCGCTTACAACAATAGCTATCAACAGAGTATTAGAATGGCACCATTTGAAGCGTTGTATGGTAGAGCCTGCAGAACTCCGATATGTTGGGATGAGGTTGGAGAAAGGAGAATAACGGGTCCAGAGTTGGTACAGCAATCAGTTGAGGCAGTTAAGGTCATCAGAGAAAGGCTTAAGACAACTCAGAGTCGTCAGAAAAGCTACGCAGACAAACGACGAAAACCTTTGGAATTCCAAGTAGGTGATCACGTCTTCCTCAAAGTGTCACCTATGCGAGGAACTTCACGATTCGGCAAGAAAGGAAAGCTAAGCCCAAGATATGTTGGACCGTTTGAGATTTTGGAGAGGATTGGAATCTTAGCTTATCGTCTAGCTTTACCGCCGAAACTGTCTCAAGTACATGACGTCTTTCACGTATCGATGTTGAGAAAGTATGAACCTGATCCGACCCACGTGCTGAATTACGAAGACATAGACGTGGACGATAAAGTGTCGTATGTGGAAAGACCGGTACGGATTGAGGATAGAAAGGAACACGTGCTACGGAACAAGACGATTTCATTGGTCAAGGTGATTTGGCAACACCACGGAACGGAAGGAGCAACTTGGGAAAGCGAAGAAGTAATGAGGCATCAACACCCCCATCTTTTTGAATAGTATGGTTATTTGTAAATTTCGAGGACGAAATTTCTTTAAGAGGGGAAGAGTTGTGACATCCTCAAATTCGACCATATTCGGAATGTAATGAAATGATGATTTTAATCGATGCACTATTAGTAATTCTCGCTCTGAATTGATCACTCATGAGAGACTAACCGATTGGGAAAGGCTGTTAAGGAATTAAATACGCACGACCTGAAAACTCGATCAGGGATTGACAATTCGACCATAAGGATTGACGAGGGACAATTTTGAGCCATTATAGACCGATCAAGGGATGGTTATAGAATGATTCGCCAATAGCATACAATCGGATCGCGGGTGATTCCGTTTGACCGTTGTATGTATTGCGAACGATCCTAAACCCATTGACTGATGATCGCGTACTTTGGAACTGACGATTGATCCCTCGCAATTACATGACAATCGAGATCATCCATGATTCGAGAAAACTTAAACGTGGTTTGATACCGAATCAACCACGGGTCGAATTCGCGTAACTCCTAAAAGCCGCCCGTTAGTTTGAGATATACTAAAGTCGCAATTGATTGATTTTTACCACGAATTAGAATCCGAATTTGGATGTCGAATCTTCGAGGATTTCAAAACTAAATTATTGGACACCGCCTCATTGATTTGCTCGTTTATCGGTTTGCTCGACATTCTCGGAAAAGGATTTAACGGGCCGAGAATTTGAGCCCACGAGGGAGTGGGCCAGACGAAGGCACATTGGGCCTCAAGCCCAATGTGATTCGGCCACATGGGCCCAAGGCAAACCCAAGTGGCCCAATTTAGCCCATTGAATCCAATTTCAGGCCCAATTGCAATTCAAGCCCAAGTTTGAGCCCATTAGCATTTTCAAGCCCATTCATAATCCGTTTGAGCCCAAATTCGGTTATACGAGCCCGTACGAAATTCTAGCTCGTATACGTGTATAAGTATTTTTATACCTTGTGAAATTACCAAAATACCCTTCTTGCATTTATGACAAAGAAACCAAAGAAATGATGAAGAAGACTTTGGGGGTTTGGCATTTATGTGGGGGGAATGATGATGAAGACTTATAGGGCATGCATTAAAGAAGAGAAATATCTCTCTTGTTCCCTCTCTTCTCCCTCCCGCGTCCATTCCTCTCTCTCTCTCCTTTTTCCTCTTCCACGGCAACTTCCCCTTTTCTCTTTTTTTTTTGTTGTTCCTTCGGCTGAGCAAACAGAACAGCCCCCTTGCTGTTGTGTTGCTTGCCGTGTTGCTGCCGTGGAGCAACCAACAGCCACGCCGTGACTCCCCGCCGCCGTGCGCAACCCGTCCGTGCCGTTTTCCGTCGCCAAATCGCCTCACCGAAGCCAAACCGGTTACGTAGGCGCTTGTCCAGCCGAGACCCGGTCGTCGTCGTCTTTCCGTGTCGATTCCGGACCGTGCAAAGCGTAGCCCTCGCCGCCGCCGACGCACCGGTGTCTCCGGAATTTTAAACGGGTGAGTTATCGCCCTAATCCCTTGCTTAGTAGGTTAAACTTCATTAGAGCGGATTAGTTTAAGTTAATTGTGCTTAGTACTAATTGATTAGGGATTAGTGATAATCTATTGGATTAATTATATTATTATTTTATTAATTTTCGGAAATTAAATAATAATATTTTATTAATTTTCGGAATTAAAAATATTATTATTTTATTAATATTTTTGTGGAAATTCCGAAATTAAATTGTGTTTATTTTAGGCTTAAATTGTGATGCCTAAGTTAGAATTTGCCTTATATATTGGTTTGTATGCCAAATTGAATTGTTTGGTTAATTTTGAGTATAGCATGTCGGGTATTTAATTAATAAACCCTGAGGTGTCGGGTTTATTTGTTAAGTTTTATGTGAGAATTATGTTGTGTATACTTGAATATAGAAGCATGCCAAGTTTGGAAATTTATTGATATGTGCATAATCACGTGTGAATATTTTAGTACATTTTTTTTATGTGGAGAAGTTGGATATTTCAACGTATTAGCACGGATTATGTTTGCATTGGCTATTGAAAATTATAATGATGGAACCTGAGTGTTGCTATGTGTGCATGATCACCTAAAGGTTCCTTTCGTGCCCGGTTATATCGGAAAACCGTATACCGGATGACCGCCAACCTAGGGTTTGGCCGTGGCCCTAACGGGTGTCCCCAATTTGGTAATTGGAAGCCGTCGCTGGTAGCAGGGGAGACGTAGTCATTCGCGAATCGGATTCGGAATGAACCCATTTATGGGATATGCCGTCATTGTGGTTGGGTGAGACGATGCCGTGCCCGATGGGGCGGGACGATGCCCGGATATACCGGAAGACTGCCAACCTGAGGCGAATATCACGGGTTGTGCCGTAGCCCCTGGTGTGGCTGTAGTAATTGGAATACGCGTGAAAGATTATGGTGGCATTGCGCTTGATTATGAGATGAAATTGCTAGGCACGGTATGGGACGGGCCGAAGCGGTTTCACTTTATAATCGGGACACGTGTGAATGCATTGTACTTGAGAAAATTGATGCGTATTCTGATTGTATTATATGCTTATTGCATTATTATGGCATACGGTGAATCATAATGTACAGGGCGTGTGCATGTGCCCAGGGCAAGGTAAGGTTGCTTGTGATTGTGTTGTGAAGTACCTGTATGTTCTATATTGAGTTGTCTGCCATCGATGTATTGCATGTGTTAGGTACATCCGAGATGAGTTGACCTCCTAGTCGAGGCTTAGGTCGTGAACTCGCCGAGATTTATCTCATTCGTTGTTGTTAACCACTTTTCGGGTCATCCGATATGAGTACACGTACCGTTCCTTGGGAACCGGCTTTTGAGGGAGAACACTTTTTGAGGTTATCCTCGTAGATAGAGGAGCTAGGTTAACCCGCACTTGGTTGTAATCGGGAAGGTCCGCGTGGTGTTCTTGTAATATATTAACCCGATGTATTGCTGATGATGTTGTTTGAATTGAGGTGTGTTTTCCTGACTATCCCTGTTGTTATGATTGGGAGTTTTTAATTCGCTTTCGCATGCGTTTAATCATTAGTAATTCGATTGGGTCGGCGATGCATCCTGGGACGTCGCATTTATAACGACCTTGGTGGGATGTTAGTGCGCTCGAGGGTCGGGGCGTGACAGGGAAAATGGCGCGGTGGTTAGCGGGGCGGTGGCGTGGTGGCGCGGTGGTGGAAATGGTGATGGCGATGGTGACGGCATGGTGAATTCCGAACTTTCCGAAATTGACACTTCCCAACTTCTACCGATAAACGGGTCTTGTCAGCACCATCTATTCGCTCATCTTTGCCCGCTAACGAACCAACGAAATTTTAGGATGTTACAACAAGTGCCATAACTTCGTACGACGCTCACTTGAATGTCATAATTTTTTTATTCGATTACTTTAGTGCCAAATCGGTGAAAAATCGTTTACTTGAGTGCCTATTCCGGCAAATTGTCTCACGTGGCATTTTAAATTAAATTTTTACCGCGACATGGCATTTTTAAAAGAAATTTAAGTCCAATTTGGAAAATCTTAGATTGACATGGAGAGAAAGGGCAAAAACGACATCATTTTGGCCCTTTCTTCCCCAAATTCATCTTAAAACGAAACCCTAATTTCTGGAACGGGGAATGCTTTGGCAATAAGCTTGAGCAATATAGAGGTTCGATCTTGAGATAAACCGCAGAGAGTTCAAGCTTACGAGATAGCAAAGTGGGTACTAGTCGAATCAGCTTCGGTGAGATTGAGATGATGATGAGTGAGACGGCGCGATGCAAGGAATTGCGCTTGATCTAGAGAAATCGCAAAGACATTGTTGGGTTAAGGACATGAATAGCCATGCTCTTCGCTGGAATCCTGCAAATCGCAGAAAAATAAGGTGATGGAGATGACACACTGGCTGCATTAGTGGAAAATCACCGGCATCCAGCCAATACCCCTTTTTTTTTTAAAAAAATTTTCCCTCAATTTTGCCGACTCATCTTGTTTCCAGTTCAGCCCCCTTTCTGATTTTTTTCGACAGCTCCCTCTCTCAATTCACGTTTTCCCCCCCTTTCTAAGCTCTTTGCCTGAACATCTCCTCCATAATATTTGCCAAGTTCACGGTTTTAGCTTGCAAAAAACCCCTCCACCGAATCTACTCATTCTTTTTTTAAACTTTTGATTCTCGTGTGTATTCTCTTCGTCAATTGTAAACTGATGTTGAATGACTAAGATCAGTTGCTCAACCATGGGGAAGGACAGAGAGAAACAGAGGATTAATCTCTTCCCCTTTTTCTTTTTTCTTTTTTCGGGTTTTTTTTTACATTTCTTTTATCCAAAGGGCCAAAACTACGTTGTTTCATCTAGTTTTTGCTGATTAGATAATTTCCAGCGAGCCATGTCAACCTATTTATAATAAATTAATGCCGCGTTGGATTTCTGGTGACACAAATCGCCGATGACACTCAAGTGAATGATTTTTAAAAAATTTAGTATTTTTTTTTTTTGGTAACCCGGGAACCCCCCGCACGGCCGACAGCCGAGGAGGTAAACCCGGGGTGACGCTAGCGCAGGACCCACCACCACGACGTCACACTTAAGAATCCCTAACGCCAGCGTAAAAAATTTAGTATTCAAGTGAACGATTTTTAAAAAAATTGACACTCAAATGATTAAAAAAAAGTTATAGCACTCAAGTGAGCGTCATACGAAAGTTATAGTACTTGTGCTGTTCTTATCCCCAGATTCTATGCATGTTCTTGAATGGTACGATGTAGACAACATGAAGAGATATCGATGGCTAATGCTGGCTGAGAGTTAATATATCTGTGTGAAGCAGATTTGTAATAGTAGAATATGATGTTTGGCTTATAAAAAAAAAGGAAAAGAAAAAAGAATATGATGTTTGAACTACTCATTAAAAGATTGGTATGGGGTGGTGAGATAATTGGACCTTAGTGCACGTGCCTGAACTGCTAATTAAAGATATTGCCAGAAAACATGTTGTGTTTTATTTTTATGATACGCAAGAACATTTTGTCCAGGGTCCGTTTATTTCGCGAGAAAATAATAATTTGAAAAATATTTTCCGAAAGATGATTGATTACATCTCTTAAAAAAATTACTCAATTAAAAATATTTTCACCATCGACAACGATTTATACCCAAACAATTTCATGAAAGATAAAAGTATGTTTCATTAATTCATTTTTACAAGCGATACAAGCAATCGTTTTTTCGAAAAAATATTTTCCAAATCATGAATTTTCCGTGAAGAAAAGAAATTCCATGACAATGTTCAAATCTGGCCTCTTTCTTGTCCTTTCCTTTGTCATGCGCCTGTAATTAATTGGCGGGTAAGAAATGCAACTCTAAGCTCTTGAAAAGAAAAAAAATACTATTTCAGGAAATGCATCTATGAGTGTGGCTAGGTGAAGATCGGAAGTGCCTCCAGTACAAAAAAAAAAATAAAGAGCAAAAATTTATGCATTAATGGAAACTTGCGAGCTCAAAAAACGAAAGATCGGAGTATGCTGGTTACCGCCAAGAAAGTCCAACATGATATCACCAACCATCGAGTATTCATCATGAAATCCATGAAAACCTGAAAATTCGTGATCAACACCACCTGCATGAAGGTCAAGAGCGTCCGGTTCGGTGAGATTTCCCAATTCATAGCGTCACCACCGCGCGATATGGGGCATGCTTGCAACTTCGTCGGCGAAGCAATTGCCTTTTTTTTTTCTCCCTCGATTTTTTTTTTGTTTATCCTCCTTTTCGTTTTTAAATTTTTTTATAATTTATCTTTGTCAAATTCAAATTTTTTTTCTGGTGGGCGCCACATCTCGATTACTTGCCTTACAAAATTAAAAAAGAAGAAAGCAATATCAACATTTTCCGTCAATCAAATTGGAGGGATTTTTTTCCTTGCCCTAAATTGGACGGATTTAACCGAAAACTAAATTGAACAATTTGAACAATTTTAAACTCAATTACATTATTTAAAAATTTTAGAACTTCTTGTACTTTAATGGTAAGTTTTAGAATTTTCATTGTAGTTTTTCCGAAAAATGAAAGAATTCCAAGGTGGGGGACACGTCAGTCGGCACCCCTAGTCAGAACACAAGATCGGCCTAAACCCTAAACCCTCGCCCCCGCCACCGACTTGCAACATTCCAAATTCAAATCTTCTAGCCAACGCCTTCTTCTCCGTGCAATCTCTCCCATCCGTGGTAAGCGATGGGGATATTCGAACCGTACAGAGCAGTCAGGTATATAACCGCCGGCGTCCCCTTCTCCGTCCAGCGCCTCGGCACCGAGACCGTCATCGCCATCGGAGTCGGCAAGGCCGTCCGAGTGTCCAATGTAAGACGCCGCCCTTGGTACGATGTTTCGCAGTTCATGTTTTGGATTGGGGTGTCGCCCGTTGATTTGATTCGTCGTCCCCCTTTTCCCGTCTTCTTTCTGTTTTGATGCTTGCACTGCGCGAAGCTGAGCTTAGTCCTTGTGGGTGAGTATCTCTTCCTTTAATTATCGTCGGGTGACTCAGTGTGATAATGGGTCTTTCGGACCAAGTGCGCGCACGCGCTTGGGTTGACCTCTCTGCCTCTCAGTTTGAATTCATATCTTTTGTGTTGCGAAAGCTCTGTCTTGTTGCCCTTGGGTCTAGTACTTTGGGAAATGGCGTATGCATGGCAATTCCTGAGCTACTTCAATGTCTCTTTACACTTCTGATTGGGGGGTTTTCGAGTTGTTTTTATGTTGGTATTCACAATCTCTTTCGTTTTGAAGGAAAAGCTAATTAGCAGTGCCCGTTTGGGAAGTATAACTGCTCTTGTGTTGAATTTTTTGTAATGACAATTTCATCGGCTATAATGTGCTTGATCATGCTATGTGATCGCGTTTCTTCCACTTTAAATAAATGGGGAATTCCTTTATTTCTCGTTGCTTTTCATTTTCTGGCAGTTTCTTTAGTCAAGTAACGATTAGATGAACATTTTTTTTTATGTAGGTCCCCATTTATGGTTGTGATTGATTGAGAGAGAAATGATTTAGTCACTGCCACTTGTTTTTTGTCCTCAGCTTCTGAAAAGAACTCCTTTCAGAAGTTTCAGTTTGTGACTTTTCATGCATCATGTCTTTATAGTGTTCTTTCTTTTGTAAGCTCTTTTGAAAAGTGGCTATTTTTTGTTGCACTTGCTTGTGCTATATTGTCTTAGGAAAACCTTGGGTCCCCTGAGGAAACAAAATCTAAGAATCTTAATCCAACGTGTATTCGCCACACTTTTGAGGTTTGAAAGAGGAAGAAATTACAATATGGCAAGCAAAAACTAATAGTCTACAGCACAAGCAACAATTTCCTCAAATGTCCGATTCTTCCATTCTCATTTCTCTCTCTATCATCAGTGTAACTGCTTTAAACATGTAAAACATACATATTCTGCAAGGGACGATATTGGGTCTAAACCTTCACCTTCTCCCTGATTTTTCTGTATCTTAAAGGTACTCTTGTACGATGAACCAACAGCTCGGCTTGATCCTATTGCATCCACTGTGGTTGAAGATCTTATCCGATCTGTGCATTTGAAAGGTGAAGATGCACTTGGAAAGCCTGGGAAGATAACGTCATGTGTGATTGTCTCTCATCAGCACAGCACCATCCAAAGAGCTGTCGACAGGTTCTACTTTACTGTTCCCATCGCTCCAGTGTTTTCTTTGTCATTTTTCGTTTTGCTCAAGAGTATATGAATAAGAGTAAATTAACATGTTCAGGGTGATATTTCTTTCTGAGGGAAAGATAGTCTGGGAAGGAATGACTCATGAGTTTATGTCGTCGGCAAATCCGATTGTCCGGGAGGTAATTATCATAGCTCCCCTTTCCAACCTTTTCGTTTCACTCATTTACTTTTTTCAATATCGTATATGGATCTCACTCCATTTAAACTTCTTTACAACATGGGTGCTTTCGTGATATACCTAGTAATCTGAAAGTTTAATGTGAAAATGCGAGATTAGTATTTCTTTCAATTGGTACTTTACATATAAACTGTTCCACAGAGGAGTGACTTTTAGAGGGTTTGTTTACACAACCAGGCAACACTCGAATGACATAGGCAAGACATTTGAGTTGTCCCTGGTTTGGTTATTGTAGTCTCAGTTTCCTTTTCCTTATGAATGATTATTTCATTTAAATCTTCCTAAAGATGGTTTTTGCCCTTTCTTTCTTCGATGTGAACAGTTTGCTTCAGGAAGCTAGGACGGTCCAATTGAATACTAGTGCTTGATGTATACGAAAAGTAGTCATGGTGTCAAGATTTTCTAAAGAGGCGGGTCAAGTGGATCGCAGACTGGCTGTGGTTGGGCCACCTGACGTGCTTGCATGTGCAACACGGTTAACTTACATTGTAGGGGTTAACAGAAGTTGCATTGCATTGTGCACATGACCAAGATGGGCTGATAAAAGTTATACCTTCACCACAGGGCATCAGGTTGGTTGTTTGTATGATAATTCGATTTCTAATAGCAGAATCGAGATCATCGTATTGAATATTTATTTCGAATGTTTTGGTTATTAAGATTTGACTCCAGAAGTAGCATTTTTGGACTGAACCAAGTATACTGTATTGAATTTTTTCTGTACCATGTCAAATGAGAAGCAACTCTCAAGAGAACTGGTTCAACAAAAAGCAAAAAGCAACTCTCAAGAGAAGTGATGGTTACTTTCTCTCGAAGTCCCCATCTCGTGAAATACATGCTTGAAGGTGCGTGAGTGCAATCTAATGCTGCTTTTGTCCAATGAAAATATTTTGGTTAACTCATTTTCCAAAAGCGATATAAAAGATCGAGGTAGGAAAGTCTTTCCTAAATTATTGATTTTCCTTGAAATTAATGCACCCTAAATGAGCTTCAAATCATTATTAAAACTCTCAAATTGATACTTTTATCATACATTTATCTGAAGTATGTTTTGTTAGACAAAAATACCTAATCTGGTGGTCCATAACAAATTTTATATCAAATTAATTTTTGTCTAGAAAAAACTCAAATTGGTATCCATGATCTAAATCTCCCCTTCGATAAAATGCATACTTGTCAACAAACATGGATTTTTTGTCGGATTTGTCATTTTTTATGTCAGATCCGTCTTATAATCATCTGTTATGCGTGTTGACACCTATGCATTTTAATGGTATATTGGATGAAATGCCAATGGAGGGTAGATTTGGATTAGAGGTACCAATTTGGCTTTTTTTGCGAAACGAAAATTAATTTGGAAAAAGTGTTATGGGAGTACTGGTTTGGAATTATTGTGAAACAAAAATTAATTTGGAGTAAATGTGTCATGGGGTATCAATTAGGGATTTTTTTTATGGTAATAACCCTAAACAAAAGATTTGCTCAATTGCAAATGATTTGTTTATTTGTTGTTGGGAAAATTCCAAATAAGGGCAAGAAGTGGACATTGTATTAAATAAGGGTCTGAAATAGTTATAACAGTTTCAAATAAGGGCCTAACCCTGCCAACTCGCCGGCCGGCCAAATTTTCCAATCGGTCAAGGGCCTTTTCGTCCAAAAAATAATTTTAACATAAATTTTAGTTAAATTAGATTACAAATTAAAAAAAAAAAAAGAAAAAACAAGCGGGAGGGCTGGGCTAGCAGCCCTCCCGCCTATGGCTACCGACCCATCGTCGGTGGGGCGGCAGCGATGGCTAGTGGGAGGGGCGGCGACCCTTGCCCAAACCGAGGTAAGGGCCCCGGTCTGGGGGAGGCCCTCGCTAAGGCAACGGTGACCCCCCCGACCATCGCCACCGCCCCATTGGTGATGGGGCGATAGCCACAGGCGGGAGGTTGGTTGCTAGCCCTCCCACTTATTTTTTTCATTTTCTTTTTTTGACTTTAGATTTTTTTTCTTTTTTGAATTTTGTTTATGGAAAGAAAAAAACAGAAAAGGAAAAAAAAATAAAAATAAAAAAAATTAAAAGACGAAAATGCCCTTGACCCCAATGAAGTCTGGCCTTTTTTTTAGACTAACATGACCACTTCATACCCTTATTTAAAACAAGATTCACTTCAAGCCATTATTTGAAAAAATGAGATACTTCAGGCTTTTATTTGAAACAATGTTCAATTTAGTCCCTTATTTGAAAAAATAAAGATATTTCAGACCCTTGTTTGGAATTTTTACTTCGTTGTTTGAAGGGATTTGGAACTATGACAGCATATTAGGACCCGCATCTTTTTCGTCTAATTGATGGCAATCATCGCAAGGGCGGTTGTCTCTATTGTGGTCATTGCTTGAAACTAAGCCGCGCTGGCCCTTCTGCTCTCCTCTACTGGCTGTGCCCGGCTGGCCACAAAAATGGATCGGGCCGGTTTGGCAGCCAAACTTAACTTAGACCATCAAGAGAGATCTCGGGTGACGACTGCGATGATGGTGGCCGGAGAGGCATGACCACCGCGAAGTGGAGAAACGTCTGGAGATCTAGTTTTCACGGTCGACTTTTTCTTCTTTTTCCTCTGCTTTTTTTGTATCCTATTTGGCAGGCATAAAGTCATCTGTTCCCTGGTACTCGTAGAAGTGCGCCATCAAATGTCGGATAAAAGCACGTTCTATGCTATTGGGTCCCTTATTCAGCTAAGCCCTTCTAGATATCTCTTTTTGGCATGTCTTGGGCCTTTATATTCACAATCACTCCTGTCCCTCAAGCCTGTTAGTTTGGTCTCACTATTAACTTTGGGTCTTTGTGCCTAAGTTCATCATCATTAGAAAAAGAAGAAGAAGATTATGACTAGGTTGTCCTTGAGTTTTTTTTTTCGTGTTTGATGTCATCTATAAACTTTTTCTCTTTTTTGCTCAATCCAGTTCTTGCACTTTTAAAAATCCACTTAACGTAGTCTTTCCGTTAAAAAAATCTAACACCATTAGCTAACATGACCATAATTTCAGTTAACTTGATGTTAGATTTGCTATGCAGGTATTTACATGGCTTACATATGGCTTCTCTCTCTCTCTCTCTGTGTGTGTGTGTTTTGGTCCAAAAGGAAACGAAAAAGAGATTTGATGTAGTAGAATGAATCCATATCATTATTTTGCCTCAGTAAACGCCAATGTGACAGTCCATGTCATAAATGGTCTCTCTCTCTCTCTCTCTCTCTATAGGAAAGGAAAAAGAGTTTTACCGACTTGAAAAAATGATGTGACGATTCAAGTTATTGTTTTGCCCCATTAAACGCTGACTCGGTGGTCCACGTTTAAAAAAATGTATGACATGAGAATGCATAATAGGACTCCATTGAGCGGATTTTTAAAAAATTAGGGATCATCTATATCGGGGAAAATTGTCCAAAAAGTTCCAAACTAATTGTACGATCGTTAATTCGGTCATAAAATTTTTAATTTGATCAATTTAGTTATGAACATTTTGACGATTTTTCAATATAATTCATCTATCCAATTTAAGTAGGAAGTCGTTGATATGGCAGTCTAGTTAGCGTTAGTCGTCCTAAGTGGCGCAGTCAGCGACTGACGTGCACGATTTGAAATGAAATGGTGTCGTTTTACAATTTTTTAAAAATAAATTTTCTGTTTTTTACTTTTCATTTCTTTCTTTGTTTTCTCTTTTTCCTATTCTTTCCTTCTATTGTTTCCTTCCACCGATCGACGGCCACAGCGATGGCTTGTAAACCCTCGCCCATATCTAGAGGGCCGCCCGTGATGCGCTCGTTGGCTCTTTCCAAGAAGATGAACAGTGAAGAAAAGGAAAAAAAGAAAATCAGAAAAAAAAAACCAATTTTTTTTTATAAAATTTCTCAAAACAGTGTCGTTTTGAGTGGAATCAAGCACGATAGATTGCTGGCTGTGTTACATATGATAGATGATGCTAACTGGACCACTACATCGGCAATTTTTGGGGGAAAATTACCAAAAAAGTCCTAAACCTTTTGCAGTTGTGCCAATTCAGTCCTAAACCTTTTTTTTGACCAATTCAGTCCTAAACCTTTTGCAAACCAGCCAATTCAGTCCTTTTGGCCGGCTGGCGCTGACGTGGCGCCAGTCGGTGTCCATGTGGTGATATTTTAATATTTTTTTATTATTTTCGAATTTTTTTCCCTTTTCCTTCTCCCCCTGGCCTGTCCGGCCAGGGGGAGGCTTGCCGGCGAGCTCTGCCTCGCTAGATCTTAGCGAGGCGGAGCTCGCCCAGGCATGGCGAGCTCCGCCTTGCCGCCGCTGGGCGAGCCTCGCCCGGCCATGGCGAGGCTCGCCCGCCATGGCGAGGCTCGCCCGGCGGCGAGGTGGAGCTCGCCCGGCTCCGGCGAGGCGAAGCTCGCCCGGCGGCGAGGCGGAGCTCGCCCGGCCATGGCGAGCTCCGCCCGCCGGAGCCGGGCGAGCTCGCCCAACGGCGGCGAGGGCCCGCTCGCCTCGCCGGAGCCGGGCCCTCGCCGACGAGCCTCCCCCCTGGTCGGACAGCCAGGGGGGAGAAGGAAAAAGAAAAAAAAATAATAAAATAATAAAATATTGCCATGTGGACGCCGGCTGGCACCACGTCAGCCGGCCGGCGGCCATGTCAGCGTCGGCCGGCCAAAAGGACTGAATTGGCTGGTTTGCAAAAGGTTTAGGACTGAATTGGCAAAAAAAAAGGTTTAGGACTGAATTAGCACAACTGCAAAAGGTTTAGGACTTTTTTGGTAATTTTTCCCAATTTTTGGCCTAATTTGGCTGGATGAATTACGTTGAAAAATTATCAAAAGGTTTAAAACTACATTGGCCAAATTAAAAGTTGAGGAATTGAATTTACGAGCGCATAATAGGTTTAGGACTTTTTGGATAATTTTGCCATCAATATCATTACCCAAAAAAAAATTCCAAACTATATAATTGTTAAAAATAATCTGGGGTGTGACACAATGAGATGTGTAATAGGACTTGATAATTGACAAGCTATTACAAAAATATGAATTGACCGATGGAAAATGAATGCTATTACAATGTGTTATTACCTCGAGTTTTGTCAAATTTCCCCAACAGTCATGAACCATGATATCTAAAAGCAAGTGGACTACCAAAATAAGAATCAATAGCGGACACTTGGACATAGGTTCATCAAACTCTTGAGGGCGAATTTATTTTGCTACAACCGGAACAAACTGTGAAATGACAATATTATATAAGTTACGACTTGTTAAAAGCTATTATGAAAGATTTCAATGACTTATGATAAAATGATTGCAATTACCATGTGTTACGACTTGAAAAACCATAAGAGATTTCAAATTTATCCAACTCTCATGAACCATGATTAGTTCAAATCAATTAGATGGAAAAAAGTAGGAACTGCCGAACTAAAGCTTAGACATGGTCGACCGATCTATGAGATAAAATGCATTACTTTACGACAAAGCTAAATCATGACATGACAAAATTAGATGCATTAGGACTTATTACGTATTGTTCATTGAAGAACTAATACCGAAATTTTTATTGGCTTACGACAATCGTAAGGTGTTACAGTACCAAATACAATGAGAGCATTTCGAGTGTTCGCAACCGTCGTAGGCCA